AGAACCATCCTTACCAGACTTCCTGTATAAATGTGGTAGAACAGAAGATGGGAAAAGAACAGGAAAATTACTCCACTGGTTGTCTTCAGTCTCGGAGCCAACTCCTTGCAGGTACTGTGCAGCATGCATGTATGCTTACCTAGGTAGTTCCTCATGCTTACCAAAGTGATAATCAGAACAAGGTAAAAATGAGTACAGCAGTGAGTATGGCTGTTCTAGGAAAGAAAAAGACTATGTTACTGATCCTGTTTTGGTGTCTAACAGAAGTTTCACTCATTTTAAGTTTGATCTTCCATTTATAAAAAAAAAATCCAACCAACCAACCAAAAACCCAAATAAAAAAAAATAACAACCCCCAAACACTTCATGTTGTCATTTTTAGAGTATGCACATGTATGCTTGATTTATGTGTTTAACTGCCCAATATTATTATAGCATGCAGTACATATGAAAGTATTTTTTTTTTATTTAATTTCTCTTGGGGGAGAAAATCTAAATGTTGCAAATTTATATCAAGTTATAAATTAGGCTCATTTTTTAATTGTTAGAGAAATCCTGTGTTTTTAAACTGTGTTAGTAGGAATTAAGAAGATGGAATGTTGTAACAATTCTTGAAGGGTTGGTGTGGTAGGTGGATGGCTAAATAATTAGAACAGATTGTGACAGAATAACGTGATGTTTTCCTGTTAAAAGAACAGTTTCTTGTGACGGCAGGAGTTCAGCTTTACAGCTTCCTTAGCTTTCTGGCTGTTTTCAAAATGTAGGTATCATTGACCTGACAGCTAACATGTCCTTAAAACCTGTTATGTGGTACTTTTTTTTTTTTTTTTGAGTATGTTTTTCCAGTGAAAGTGAAATTAATTCAAGGTTAAATTAAAAGATTCTATTTAAGCAATTTTTTTTTCCCTCCTATTGTTGGGCTCCTTAATCTGAAAATGTTCCAGATTATGTATTTCGGAGAAAGGTTTTAATATTATGTAGCAAGCTTGCTGAATCCAGAATATCTTTCTGATTTGTGGAATGGAAAATGGTTTAGGGCCTGTATTCTTGCACTACCAGTTAATACGTATTTTTATGTGGAGTTTTTTACTCCACATACCATATGTTCCCAACTGTCTCCTGTGTGTCTGTCACCATAAAAATGGATCCAAATTTTGTAGCAGTTAGTAGTTTTTTTTGAGTTAACTCCCACAGAATAGAGAACACTTAGGTTTAAGAGCAGATGTACTGGAATTATGTACATCTCTCTGCCAAAGATAAGCTTTTGTCTGTATTGAACTGGTGTCTTAGGAGAGACATTTATAGTCATCTTGATTTTAAAAGTTGAATCAAAATAGGTGGCTGGATTATTTTATAAATAAAGTTTTTTTCATTAGAAAAAGAGGATTCTTTGTTTTTATTATTGAGCAGTAGGGCCACACCTGTGGTAGAACCCTCTGGTGCCATAATCACTGGTTGTAGAATTTTATGTTCCAAAGTGTTTTATTTTTATTACATTTCAGAATGCTTTTCATACAGTTTTCTTTTAAAGCGACTGGGAGTTCCAATTAGTTGTGCTTCTCAACATGTAGGTATTTACACGGAGAAACTCCTGCAGGTCTACATGGGAATGCTTGTAGAATTTAAAATGCAAGTGGTGTTCTTCACTTAGAAATAAAAATCCTTGTGATAGTGTTTGTAGGTGGAGATTAGGAAAACTGTCGTTTCACGTTGCACGGCGCACTCCAAGGAACTGAAACCGTATTTTCAGCAGTGCTTGCGGTCCTCAGTTAGTCCAGCCGTCTCCGACTTACTGTTTTGGTTTTTTTTGTAATTCGTTACATCGCTTCTCGCGCTTCTACAGGCAACGTCCCCGGGCTGTGGGCGCTACAAAGGGCGCTCGGTTCGCCTCCGCACGGCGGGAGGGAAGG